CAAGCGACTCTTCTAATCTCGTTCGGGGAACGTGCAGCTTAGAATATAAGCTTACACTAACAATTCTCCCGGCGATACCGGAAGCAAATATGCAACCACTTATTCACGACTGCGCACTCCAGTCAGCCAGGAGCCACTAGCTGCAATATCTAAAAGAAGTAGACTGAATCAGATCGGACGACACGAATATCTCTTATATATTTGAATTAATTTCCAAATGCATTATGGGACACAATACAGATACAATTATTACCCACGCTATAAAACGCATATTGATATTTATTCGGTTTAGGACTGTACAATACCGAATACAGAAAGCGAAGAAGGAGGTTTTAGATACTCCATTCTTTCATCTTGGGAATTATTCTGTTTAGAAAATCAGAATTTAAATGTCTGACTTTTACTAAGACACGAACACAGACTTATTGGAACAGTGAGAAATACGGAAATATTTTAGTCACGAAGAATGACACTATAGGTCAGTTTGTAGCAGTATTATTAATTGTATCATTTTTCTCATATCTTGTTTTGGTTGTTAATTATTGCAATGGCCAGGTGCTTTTCACAATCTATGATCGTTAAGTAAAGAGAATACTTCTCGAGAAAATAAGTAAGGTCTAGCGAGAACTCACATCCCGTATCTCTGGAAGTGTGAGAATAAGCCCACATTCTTTGCCAGCGTATTTTGCTGAGCATCTGCGAGGTGACATGTTAATCTGCGCTGGAAAAGGAAAGAACAGAAACTTTCTACCTCTCTCTCTCTTTCTCTCCCTTACACACCCTGTGCATTCTCACCCAGAACACAGCGTAGCGACAACACGGAATTTGTGCTCGCCGATACAGATTTTTTCCCAGGGCAAATCGACAACTAAATTTTAACCAAACCACGTGGTGCGCGTGCCAACACACACACGCACGCGCGTGCACACACTCACACATTTTCTCTAAACCCCTAAACTTTTTTCTTTAATAATGTTTTTCAATTATCTATCTATCTATCTATCTATATATATATATATATATATATATATATATATATATATATATATATATATATATATATCTTGATTGATATATATATATTCTATTTGAGCACTCTTGAGTATATCATTTTCTCTTCTTGGAATATGCTGGTCTCTATATAGATATATTTAAAAATTCTTTCACCTGTTGAATTCATTTATTCTGTCGAATTTCAAACTCTTTCCGTCACAATGGACAGCCGCATCCGTTAAAAGTGGTCCACTGTTCCCGCAGCAGAATCATTCCTTATGAGATGCCATGTCAAATAAAACAATGGCAATACTTCCTTTAAGAAATTCGGAACAATTTCATCATTATCGTACCATTTTTTAACCAGGTTAACCTGTCGAAATTATTGGAGATCAATACACTGTATATTTCCACAAGTCTTCAGAATGCTAAACATTCTTGCAGCTTTTATGAATGACATTCGTTAAGCAACTTCAGTATTTCCTCGGATTTTTAATTCATCAAGTATTTTTTACGAAGAAACTTTTCAAACTCAAAGATTACCAGTTTCATTTCACACAATGTTCTTAATTTTCTGAAACGGTTCTGATACCTATTGACATCATCCTCTTTCAATTCCAATGCCCTATTTACATTATTCATACTATTGTCCTCATCTTTGTCGCCATATTTATTACAACGTTTCGGCCATTGTACGCTCCGGGCTTCTTCAGGTGGTTGGAATGTCGAACTGAACCCTTTATTTCCCTTACTGGGATAGACTGTTCTTGTTCCACGTGCCATGTTTTAATGGATGTCAGTTATCAGTTATCTCCTGATAATTCTCCTCTCCAAGTTCTCCACTACCTTAACCGGATATTGAACTCACAGTCTTTGGGTCCTGTCACTGGATCTAACCAACGTCTTTATCCATTTTACCATGTGTCCTTGTGTCATCTCAGAAATATAGACAAATTCAAATGCAGTTTATGAAAACGAAACCTTTAACATCTACAATATGGTAGATTTTTTTATATATCATTGTTTAATCTTACAAGAGCTAGTCTTCAATCTTTGTTTCTCTCTTTCAAACTGGATGTTTGGGAGGAAGCAGGCTGGTATCTGTCGCTGTTTTTGATATGCTGTCTGTTAGAAAGCAAACAAGCGTCGCTGGCTCTGATATATATATATATATATATATATACAGGGTTTACCAAAAATACTTTTACGAAATTTGTGAACAGGTTCCTAATATTTGTGGCTAGTCTACCTTCAACGTTTAACGTGAGTAGCAGAGAGGTAACTGAAGTTTTCAGTTTAACAATGACAGGATATTCATATCGTGAATCAGGCAGATATGACTTTTACATACGACCGCGCGAATGGTGATGGACGCGTAGTTGCACGGCTGTAACAGATTGCATTTCCAGACTGAAGGCAGCCGAGTAATCCAAGCTTTGTTGCTGTTTATCGTGGCGTTGCTGAGACAGGATCCGTGGTACCACAAACTATGGATCGAGGAAGACTGAAATACGTCAATAAGCCTGACCACGAAGAATACATTCTACAGGCTGTTGCAGTCGATACAGGTATCAGCACACGTCAATTAATGTCATATTTATATGGAATTTTGTCCTTGCTTTGGTATCATGAACCCGCTCCACAATATTGATACTATGAAATTTTAAAAACCTCATTTAAAATACTATAGATTTACCATAATTCCCCATGTATAATGCTCCTTCATCCAAAATATGCACTCCTAAAATTGTGTTGAAAGTGTGGGAAAATCCTTTTACTCGTGCATAATATGCACCCATTGTTTGGTAATCTCATACTATAAATTGCATCTCTCCAATTTCATTAAGGCCTACACAGGTGGTATTACGGATATGACTAGCTTAGACGAGTTCTGACCAGGTTGGACAAGCTATGACCAGCTAAGACCAGTTAGACCAAAGGCTTCAGTAGAAATACTCTATTCCTCTGTTAAAAACAGACATTGTGTCACAAACTGACTCAGTGGGGTTCAAGTAAATCGCCTTATTAAAAATGATTTTAAATAAAGAATAATCCAATTTAGTTTTATGATAATTCTTATTTTATTTTACACTTGTAAGTATTGTCAGGTAAATATGATTGTATTTGACATCCTTATGGGGTCGCAATCGCCGAATGTTAGTGTCAAATTGTCATATGTTTGTGGTGAGTAGTCATTTCGTAACTGAAATCAACCTATGAAACGGCAAATTTTTAAAGATTATTTTGTAGCTCTGCATAATACGTACCCCTAAATTTGTTTATTCTTTTTTTAGAAAATGCTTATTATACATGGGGAATTACGGTATAATTTAATTTTTCATTTTATTGTTATATATTTTTCGGAATATTCTTTCTAATTTTTTGTTGGAATGATAATGGTAACTATTTTCTTATATGAACGCATTCGATATTCACTGAAAAAACAGCCGGTGCTACCGTCGCTTGAAATTCACAAACTCTTTCTATGAAAACAAAGTTTTGAAGCCAAGTAACTCTTATCGATCTTTCCAGTATTAATGACGGAATCATTTCTGAACTTTTCCTAGATTTCATATGGAAGGTCAACATGTCATTTTCTAACATGACTAAAAATGAGATAAAGACTAAACATAAGGAAAAAAAAATTATTTATTTTGAAAAGGGGAATTTAAAAAATCGCAAGTTTCAAAAAGTCAAATACGAAATTAGGCCTCATTTCAATAAACAAATAAAACTTCTTGTAATTCACACTTAGTACGAGTAAAACTAGAAACTCAGAAACAGAGCTTAGGGAGTTACTTGACTAAGCATGAAAATTTGAATCGTCATTTGCTAAATATTAAGGAAAGATATTCTCTGGTTTGTTTGTATACACCTTGATACTAAAGGAGAGTGAATCTTAATATATTTTGCAGATGAACTGTGATGTGTGATGAAAGCAGATAGCCTAAATACGTTTCAGATGCATGTAGATGCCAGCGATGTGGGAATCGGAGCTGTATTAATGCAAGAAGATGAAGATAAAGAGTTACATCCAGTAAGCTTCTATTCAAAGAAATTGAATAAGTTCCAGAAGTCCTATTCAACAATCGAAAAGGAAGTCTTAGCGTTAATATTAGCTGTTCTCCATTTTGATGTTTACATAACCAATTCTCTTTCTCCTACAGTTGTATATACTGATCATAATCCATTAACGTTTATAGATCGCATGAGAAACAAAAACCGAAGATTACAAAGTTGGAGTCTTATATTGCAGGAGTTCAATCTTCAAATAAAGCATATTGCTGGAACAGCAAGTAAAGTAGCGGATACCTTGTCGAGATATTGGAAACGAATGCAGATGTTAACCATAATTTGGAAAGGATTAAATAAAGAAAGGTATATCTCAGTGGAACTGAGAAAATGTAAACTATATATGTTTTGATGGAGATGGAAATTGAAAGAAAATGTATGTTTTACTAATATTGAGCGTGTATGTTATTAAAACTGAGAAAAAAATGTGTGTATATTTTGACAAAGGTGTAAATTTTTTTTTGTTCTTGTGTATATTTGAAAAAAATGTATAATGATATAAAGAGTATATATCTGTTGATGTTGTAATCAAAAAAAAAGAGAAAAGAAAAGACGACCCATTGTTTGTTCAGATAATGTTGGGATACATTGTTAAAAAAAAGAAAAAAAAAGTTTTTTTTTCTTTTTTCGTTGATGTTGGAAGATGTGATGTGTGATGAAAGCAGATAGCCTAAATACGCATATGATAGGGTTAATTTCCGCCTAGCAACAGAATAAAGGTCACGTGGGAGTCTTATGACATTTTGGGAAGGCAGGTCAGAAGGTTGACCGACACAATTAACCGTAGCGACAAATGTCTAGACAGAAGCTAGACAGGGGACGGTTGTAAGTTAGAATTCGCGCCCAAAACTTCAGACACGTGACAGTCAGAGATTCACTCGAGGATCAGTTGCTATCTTGATTTTGAAGAGGCAAGACCTGTAGCCGAAGCGCTGCTAGTTTATGAACGGAAAGATAAGACGCATTTGATAGTAATGAAACTTATCCAGTTCAATCCAGGCAACTCCGGACAAGAAGTATTCCTGTTCGATAATCCCAAGTTGAATTGTGTAAAGAAAAGAAAACGGATATCCAGAGAGAGGAAGAAAGTATACCTCTGTTACAAGTTGAATTGTGTAAAGAAAAGAAAAGGGATATCTAGAGAGAGGAAGAAAAGAAAAAGGAAAAACCAGAGAAGAAAGTATACCTCTGTTACAAGTTGAATTGTGCAAAGAAAGAAAAGGGAAAACAGAGAAGAAAGTGTATACCTCTGTTATAAGCTGAATTGTGTAAAGAAGAAGAAGGAAAGAAAGAAGAAAACCAAAGAGAGGAAGAAAGTGTACATCCCTGTTGCAGTAAGTCGGGTTGGAATTCGAGCTGTCGACAGAAGAAAAGGAAGAAAAGAAAAAGGCGAAACAAAGAGAGGACGAAAGTGTATACCTCTGTTACAGCCGGACAGTGTGGGAAATTGTGTTTGTGTCGAGAAAAGAAAAAAAGGAAATTGATATATATATATATATATATATATATATATATATATATATATATAAAAAGAACTGAATATAAAAGATAAGTAATCATATTTTGGACCCGTAGTAGAAAGATATACATACATCCATGAATATTATGTTTTTGCAAACACCTTTCCACATGTAAAACAATAATTATAACTCCTATACCATCCTTTTTGTGTGTGCGTTGGCTTCTGCATTCAATTCATAGTAATTCATACTTATATTTTGTATGTTCGGGTTCAGTTGAATCCATTTGATGTTAGGCTTGATATCCCAAATAAGTTTGAGATCTGGTCGTCGGATGTTTTAACTCATACTTATCTGTTCTTTTATTTTGATATTTGTATATTTGTACATATTAAAATTCTTGTATCAAAAATCGCTAAGCCTTATAGTTCATCCTTGCATTGTGGATCAGTATTCGTGTTGAAAACGAAGCGGACCTGGGAAAGATTACTGTTCGATTATCCCAATCGAACAGTGGTCTTAAATATATTTTTGTTTACCAATTGTCCACTCTCACGATCTGAGAGAGATAGCTTGTATCTCTCCACGGGTGTGAGAGTGTATATATCTCCTAATCGGCTCATAATCGCCCTATAAACACATTTGTCGACTGGGGCATATGACAGAACACAGAGAGGTACTATGAATACATGAACACAGCGGCGTACTATCAACACATGACTACAGAGGGGTACTATAAACATATGAACACAAAGGGGTACTATGAACACAGAAGAGTGCTATCAACATTTGAATACAGAGGGTTACTATAAACATATGAACAAAAAGGGGTACTATAAACACAAGAACACAGAAGAGTGCTATCAGCACATGAATACAGAGCGGTACTATAAACATATGAACACAAAGGGGTAATATAAACACATGAAAACAGAAGAGTGCTATCAGCACATGAACACAGTGGGGTACTATAAACATATGAACACGGGCGGGGGCTATAAGTACATGATCACAGAGAGGTACTAACAACACATAAACACAGAGAGGTACTATAAACACATGAACACAGAGGGGTACTATAAACACATGAACACAGAGGGATCATTATAAACACATGAACACAGAGCGGTAGTATCAACACATGAACATAGAGGAGTACTATAAACATATGAATACAGAGGCTGCTATAAACACATGAACACAGATTGGTACTATCAACACATGAACACAGAGGGGTACTATAAACACATAAACACAGAGTGGTAATATAAAAAAAAATTATAATCACTCTGATAATAATTCTTGTATTTTTTAACATTCCAAGGAATGAATAAGATAAACATTGCGTTTGCATTCGTTTCTACCCCAATAATCTTTATCGTTAGCCGCTTTTAATTACCACAATATTTGGAGTAAAACGAGGTACTCATTGTTAGTTAAGATGTTCAGAAAAGTACATGAATAATCATGAACATTTGACAATTTTCCTTTTCTTGCTTTACAATGATTTTTTACCACTGAAGAGCCACTCGAAGTAGAGGGTTATAGATTAAGTCACAATTTATGGGGATATGTGGGGAAGATAATGGTTAAATGTATATTTGAACAGGTTGTAGTGATCGGGGAAGAATCCTCTTAGATGTCGGTTCCACGAAGCATCGGTTTGTAGGAAGAAGCTGTTCGAATGAAACATTTCTCCCCAATGCATTATACAATGGAGGTGATTCGCTACAACGTTCATCGCATAGTGGATTTTCGCCGTGGATGTTAGAATTGGTGGACCTAAAGAATATAGTTCGTCTGAACACTTTCCAAGGAAATAGCGATGGAGCAGTGATAGACTTGCGACGTTTCGTTTGGGAGAAACGAGTTGTAGGGTGGAAAATATTTTATCAACCACAATGAAGCGTAGAAGCTTTTGGCCCCTATCGAGACTGGGAAGTGAAAACTGAGCTGCTCTTATGACAACACAGTAATCCATCTTCGGCTTTTTAAAAGAAGAGGATAGCAGGAGGTGTCAGTTGCTTACTGGAGTGGTACAGAAAACTCACCATTCTTCTGGTATCTTTAGCAATTGTATACACGTGTTTTACTTGAGGTCTGAGTTGAGCTTAAGTTCCAAAAGGTTCCCAAGGTACGATGTGACATGACCCTCTATATTTATAATAAAAGAATTAAGTTGAATTAAATCAATCATTTAAAGTATTGATATTTAATATAAATCTCTTTCGTAAAATTTAGTAATTTATTCTTTATTGTTTCTTAAACATTTTATTTCTTAAAAACACAGCCTTGACCACTTTTAAATTTGTTCAACAGTTTAAATGTCAATTTCATATGTAACGTTCGACGATTGACAGTCATATGTGATGTTCAACGATAAGGTGCGTCCCTACACTGACGGAGTAGAAAGATTGCGTCTTCTGCATCGAGAAGACGTAAAAACGTTTACCCTTTCTCCGTGGGCTAGCTACCACGTTAAATTGCCTTATGATATTCCAGAGACGGAAAGTTAGAAGCTTCCGGGGATATCAAGAATTCAAAAGTCAGGATGATATACCTTCGTGTATTAAAAGCAAAGCACTTTCAGTTTGATAAACCCAATAAACCACGTTGATTGACCGAAACACTTCTACATATGAAGGGAAATATCTTAAGCCGGACATGACAAGATTTACTATGAAATATTTCTAAAAGAAAGAAAAAAAAAGAAATAATAAACAACAAAACCGCCGATAACATTATACGATAGATATGTAACCGTTGAATACTTCTCTTAGAACAATTCTTATATTTTCTTTCCTTTCTCCTATTATTTGTTTATCTTTTCTTTCTTCTTTCACTCCATATTATATGTATATATTAAAATAATTATAACTTTACATCTCTTATTTGTTTTCTATACGTTGTCTGTGTGGGGATTGGTCCCTGAGTAAAAAAATCATTTTTTTCGATTAAGCGAACCGCATTCGCTGTTATATGTTTGACTTTTGTTGAAAGATAAAATTCGTAACAACGAGGCTTACCTGAGAGAACACCTCTTCATCGTGATAGGTGAAAATTCACAGTCTGCTTGTTGAAACGTCACCGGTTCGGTTTCTGGGGCATTGAATGTGTTCAGAATGTTCCCTCCTATTGGGTTGTTAAAGCTAGGTTAGAGGTCATATCATCAACATAGATATGCACAAATGATCAGTATATACTCTTAAGCAGTTCGTAAAGTATAGAGAAGGTTAGACCGAGAAGCTTTGATTGCTTGGGCCTCGGAGGATTGGACGTTAACTACTAACTTCAGGTACCTACCCTTTACGAAGGACATGGGAAGAGAGAAAACCCTTCTAGTGATTCAATCGCCAGAGCTTGTGAAGTAACTCTCTATGCCACACCTTGTCAAAGACCTCGCTATACCACACCTTGTCAAAGACCTCTCTATATCTTAAAAATTAAGGAAAAGAATTTGGGAAGATTTAAGCATCTATGTCTTCGTCTATGTGCCGTGTCTATCCGGAACATGCGCTATCAATGTTCTCGGCAATTTCCTATTATTTGTAGCTCTTAGTAAGGTTTGGTTTTCACTATTCCTCTCACCTCTTGTTCTACCATCCCGTTATACACACTCGTTAGACTATCCTCTGATTCTTCTGTTACTCTTGCTTTCAGTATAACCTTGGAGTGCCAAATTCTTTAGACCCTCTCGCCTCTTGCTCAAATGTTCAATCTTCACCATCCTTCTGTAGAACGACGTTTCTGTTTCCTCAAGTCTCTTCTTCATCTTTGAAGAGATCGTCCAACATTCAGTGCCATAGACGAGAACAGATATTACATGACTGTTCAACATGCTTTTCTTTGAGTCTAACGACATTTTCCTGTTTCTGACTATTTTTCTTCCCTTTTTCGGAGTTCCCTTTGGCTATAATTATGTGTCATCGAATTTCGGTGTCACATTTTGGATCAAGCTGGTTTTTAATGATCACTTTTTGATCCAATCTTCCAATGAAAATTCTGAGAATCACCAATTCACCATTACCATTTTCGCAAAGTATTACCAACACAGTTTGTTTAGTATTATGTATTAAGCATAAATAAGAGAAGTAACAGGACAAAAGGATAAAATCCAAGGACGGAGCGCTGATATTAGAGAAAGAAAGATACTTCCGAGATAGAACGAATACTAATGTGTACATTTACTCAATAAAATTACCATTGGCTTGAACTACGACCTCTAGACAACGTCGGAATTTCCTGCAACTCTTCTGGACGTTCGCCTTGTTTAAGTTAGTGAATTCTGCCATAATCCTTGTCATCTGTTCATACTGCTCATTTTACATACAATCCTATGCTGGTTCTATCAGTGCTTTGAAAGTTAAAAAGGATATCTGAAATCCCGTTTCTTGAAATAATGACTTCCTTACCTTTTTGCGCGCCGATTTATATTGTTGGTCATCTTTGCTATTTATACCCGATCTCCTTGGAAATATTCCCTATGATCTAAAGCCATGGACGGATGCCGGAATTTTTCGTCTAAATGACGCAAAACTGAAAATTACACTGACATTTCATTTTACCAAAACATTTTGAAATATTAAAGAATAAATGTATTCAATAAAATCGTCAGTGGCTTCAACTACAAACTACAGCCAACTTTGGAATCTCCTGCAACTCGTCTGGGTGGTCTCCTTGTTAAAGTTGGTGGATTCTGCCATAATCCTTGCCTTTAGTTCATCGTTGGAGTTACAAGAAGCTTTGTTGGTCTATCGCTCAACTGCGTCCCACACATAGGATTCAATGGGGGTTGCAGTCTGCAGAGTTAGGTGGACAGATGGAAGGGGTGATGTTGGCCGCAGTAATTGTCTGACAGCCATAACTGGGATCTCCTCCTTCTGTGAGATGGTGGAGAGTTCTGTTGCCAGGCATAGTGTCTTACAGCAGCCGCCCACTTGCTCCAGGGCAACACTACCTCCTCAAGGCACTTGATATAGACCTCTGTTTTGAGTCTAAGGCCTTCACTAACAAACTCAGGAGTTATTTCTTGTCAAGACGACCAGACTGAGTTTTCCGAGTTAGTGTAACTTCGTAATCACCATTAGACTCATCCAACTCTTTCCGAACCCTCTGAATTTTTATTTTCTCGACTGAACAGTATAGTCGGGTCAGTTGAGCACAATCTGTGAGAAAAAGAGCATGATGCAATTCACTTCGCCAGAAATTTTGAAGCGGCATGCTGTAATGCTTGGCACTCGCACCGGAAGCACTAATGACACACACACACACTTAGAAATGTTCGTATTAGTACTTCCGGCGCGAATGCCAAGCATTACAGCATGCAGCTTCAAAATTTCTGGCGAAGTGAATTGCATCATGCTCTTTTTCTCACAGACTATGTCCAGCTGGTCCGATTATACTGTTCAGTCGAGAAAATAAAATTAAACAACGCGAAATTAAATAAATATAAAATCGCGGCAACTTACCTATCGCAACATGTATATCGGAGAATTATTTTGCGATGAAACAAAACAACCGGCAATACACAGAAATACCGACTGAATCGTAATAGAGATTTATTCAGCCTTCGATGATTTTGGCATAGACAAAATCACAGAAATAATAAATTAAATCTACAACAGTGCTGATATACCGGAAGACCTAAGCAGATCTATTTTTATAATATTGCCTAAGAAACCAGACATAAACAAATGTAAACTCCATCGAACAATCAGCCTAATGAACCACATAACAAAACTCATCATCCGAATTCTGATGAATAGAGAGCGCAGCAGAATAGAACCAGAGATAGGATAAGAACAGTGCGGGTTCGTCAAATAGATCGGAACAAGGAACGCAATATTTATGCTCAGAATGTTTTCAGAATGAGCAATATAAATGCAGAAGGACGTGTACCTGTGTTCTATAGATTACGCAATGGCGTTCGATAAAGTAGGCCACAAATATCTTTTAGAGCTGCTCGGCAACCGTAACATATTCAGCAAAGACATTAGAATAATCGAGTACCTACACTGGCAGTAAACTATTTGCATATGAACAGAAAAATGAGTTCAGCAGATATACAAAAATATAAAGGGTTGCAGGACAAGGATGTCTTTTCACACCAGATTTATTCAACCTATATAGCGAGGAAATTCTGGGAGAATTATAAGTCCTACCAGGATTTATTATTGGCGGCTTTAGTGTTAAAAACATGAGATATGCAGATAATACAGTGACTTGACGAAAAGAAAGCCAGGGCAGAGTACTTCATTAAAACTTAGAAAAGGAAAGAAAATGGCAACGAAAGCAAAAGATAAGAAAGAGCGAAAGAAAGAGCGAAAGAAGACAAGAAAGAAAGAGCGAAAGAAGACAAGAAAGAAAGAAAGAAAGAAGACAAGAAAGAAAGAAAGAAAAGAAGAAAGAAAAGAAAGAAGACAAGAAAGAAAGAAAGAAAGAAAGAAAGAAAGAAAAGAAAGAAAGAAGACAAGAAAGAAAGAAAGAAAGAAGACAAGAAAGAAAGAAAGAAGACAAGAAAGAAAGAAAGAAAGAAGACAAGAAAGAAAGAAAGAAGAAAGAAAGAAGACAAGAAAGAAAGAAAGAAAGAAAGAAGAAAGAAAGAAAGAAAGAAAGAAGACAAGAAAGAAAGAAGACAAGAAAGAAAGAAAGAAGACAAGAAAGAAAGAAGAAAGAAAAACAAAGAAAAAGTTGACAAGAAAGAAAAGAAAGAAGACAAGAAAGAAAGAAAAAGAAGACAAGAAAGAAAGAAAGAAGACAAGAAAGAAAAAAGAAAGAAGACAAGAAAAGAAAAAAGAAAGAAAGAAAGAAAGAAGACAAGAAAGAAAGAAAGAAAGAAAGAAAGAAAGAAAGAAAGAAGACAAGAAAGAAAGAATGGAATTTTTGAAACTTAAGGGAAAATTGACGAAAAGAAAGCAAGAATGAAGTACCTCCTTGAAATATAAAAAGAAATAAAATGGTGACGAAAGGAAAAGACAAAGAAAAAAAGAAAGAAAGAAGAAAGAAAGAAAAATAAAAATAAAGATAAGAAAGAGCGAAAGAAGGAAAGAAAGAAAGAAAAAAGAAAAAAAAAAAAAAAGATAGATAGCAGAAAATTAATATAGAAAAAAAAAGATAAAAGAAAAGGAAAAAGAAAAAAAATGGATTTTTGAAACTTAAAGAAAAACGTAAACAAGAAATGATCTCATTAAAAAAAAATCGTGAAAATGGCAGAAAAAAATGAAAGAAAGAAAAAAAAGAAAAAAAATAAAAATAAGAAAGGAATTACATAAGGATAAAGGAAGAGTTAGCATAATAAGAAAATACAAAAAGAAAGGAGAAAAGGACAAATACAAAGAAGTAGATAGATAGATAGATAGATAGATAGATAGATAGATAAAAGAAATAGATGGCTAAAAATAGCAAAAGACTAAGAAGGAAAGAATGAAATGACAAAAAAGAGAACAAAAGTCTAAATAGATAAATGTTTAAGGATGGAAAATGTAACGAGAAAATGCAAAAGATACCTGAAGATAAAGAGATAGAGAGAGAGTGATAAAGAGGAAATTTAGATAGAAATGACTTTATAAAGAAGCGGCTAAAAGGTAGAAAAAGAAACAAGAAAATGCTGACGATAGCAAAAACACATGAAAGAAAGAAAGAAAGAAAGAAAAAAAGAAAGAAAGAAAGAAAGAAAGAAAAGAAATAAGTAAGGAAGGTAGAAAGAAAGAAAGAACTGACTACAAAAAGAAAGAATAAGTAAAAGGTAGAAAAAGAAACAAGAAAATGCTGATGATAGCAAAAACACAAGAAAGAAAGAAAGAAAGAAAGAAAGAAATAAGTAAGGAAGGTAGAAAGAAAGAAAGAACTGACTACAAAAAGAAAGAATGACTAAAAGGTAGAAAAAGAAACAAGAAAATGCTGATGATAGCAAAACAAAAGAAAGAAAGAAAGAAAGAAAGAAAGAAAGAAAGAACTGACTACAAAAAGAAAGAATGACTAAAAGGAAGAAAAAGAAACGAAAAAATGCTGACGATAGCAAAAAAGGCAACAAATAAAGAAAACAAGAAACAAAGAAAGAAAGAAGACAAGAAAGAAAGAATGGAATTATAGAAACTTAAGGGAAAATTGACGAAATGAAAGCAAGAATGAAGTACCTCCTTGAAATATAAAAAAAGAAATAAAATGGTGACGAAAGGAAAAGACAAAGAAAAAAAGAAAGAAAGAAAGAAGAAAGAAAGAAAAATAAAAATGAACAAAATATATGTAGGGAGAAGTCGAAAGCTGTGTAATAAAAGAATTAATTGAATATATCAATAAAATTATATCTACCAATCTGAAGAATAAATAAAATCTACTCCCCCCGCCAAAAAAATCAAATAAAATCAAGCTATCAGACTGACTAATCAAATGAAGCTTCTGCACACAATTTATTCCCGCTGATTACTCGTTAGTTGTATAGGATCATCGTCAAGGAGGTGAGATCGGTTGGGTTGGTTCTAATAAGCAAGCAGCGTGTTTGCCTTCTTCCATTGATAGCTCCAAACTCGTTGCCACAGAAACAGTCATCAGAAGACAGAAATTATAGAACCTTCTACTGACAGACGTCAACAAGTGTGTTTCAGAAAAAGAGGCAGAAGTGTTTATTTGTGAGCTGCGCGTGTACTCCAAGCTCATTACTGGTGCAATATGGTCATATTTTATGTTTCGTGATTGTTTTAGTGTCACACATATTATCTGCGTTGTCGGGTGTCATAATCCTCGGTCACAATCATCAAACATATATTCTGAGCGAACGTCGGATTAAATATCATTCTGAAACTGACGATTTAATCCCATTTTAAGACATGAATAAATCTAGTCTCCTGCATACCAAATTTTCCCTGTTTTTGTATTAGTTTAAAGCAGGCTACAAGCTTAGATAATAAATCGGTGTATTGTCGGGAAATAATGGTAAACAATCTCTACATCAATCGTTCTCAAACCGCCTGATCTCCTCGCGTATAGGCTGTGAAGCTCATATTGACTCTCACCGGTTGTGTGTTTGTGTGTGTGTATAGTGGTCAATATATAAATATATATATATATATATATGTGTGTGTGTGTCTGTATGTGTGTGTGTGTATAGTGGTCAATATACATACATATATATATATAATATGTGAGCATTGAAGTCAACACTTGTAGTGTTGACTTCAATGTTCACTTTATCTCTTACACACGTTCTATCTCTGATATTGAGCACTTTATCCCATAAATATAGTACACCTTAAGAGAGAGTATATATATATATATATATATATATATATATATATATATATATTTAAGTAATGAAATCTTGGTAATCCGTGTTGAAGTGTGGTCTGATGACCAGAGAAAAAGGGAAATAAATCATAACCATAAACCCTTCTGTTTTGTTTTCCATAAATTATATATATATATATATATATATATATATATATATATATATATATAGTACAGGTAATAAATCCGTTGGTATATAATCGAAGTCGGTTCTCGTAATATAAAATATTAAAACTGATCCACGAAAATAGTCTAATGTCTTTATAGCAACATATAAATTACACGCCAAAATCCAAAGTTACTTCATATGGGGCGTATAGATATGTTTCCACAACCGAAAAGTACGTTAGTCTTATTTAAACCCGGTATACTGGATGTGGAACAAAATTGTCCATAAGGTGTCCATAAGGTGTCTCTCTACTCCCTTCCCCTCACAGGGCTTTGGTCAACACGTGTTATGTTTTTTAGATGATTTCCAAAGGTGCCGTATCAAGGTCACCTTCCTGAAAAATCGACCATTTGAAGTCGGGTCTTATAGTCAGAACTCGAATGTTCTAACCACTGAGCCATACGCCCATCGAAAAACTTGCAGTAAAAAGTCAACATATTTTTCTCTCAATCATGACTCCAATACATTCAAAGGCTTATGCTAGGGTCCAACCTAGCCAGGCTACGGAAACTAAATTTAAATGTCGTCAGGTTTTAGAAAGAACCCGGCGTCAGGTACAAAATAAGATATCGCCGGTCCTGAATGAATTTCCAGCACTCTCATGCTGATTTTCTAAGAGTAGCTTAACCGTAAGTATGAGACAAAACCGTAAGTATGAGACACCCATTGAGGATCGAACCTACTATTTAGTTGTAATTTTTCTAGCAAGACAAGCTTGCTAAACATTAAATCACGTCTAGGTGCCTTTCATATTGATATATTTTTAAATTTGAAAGGAACGAAATAAGATGTTTCATATTTATTGAGCTTACGGATACATACCGTTGAAACACCGATTCCCGTACGAACACCGAAATTGAGCAACGTCGAGACCGGTCATTACCTAGATGGGTGACCGCTTGGGAATACCAGGTGCTGTAAGCTTGAATGTGCGGGTGGTGTAATGGGTAATAACTTGGAATTTTTAACCGGAGATCCAAGTTCCAATTTCCGTTGGTTTCCTCACTTACGCACGATTACCTTTGGGAAAGTTATGAATCCACTTCTCTCTGTGACGAAAGACATGACTTACCTCAGAATTCGAAACGAGTGCGAACGTGTCTTGCCTGCAAAGTGATGACAAAAAGAAATATGGCCGCTATCGAAGACACAATTTATGTGCGCCTATCTCGTCCAAAATGAGACGATATTTGCACACATGCAAATTTTGGCCGTATTGGAATAGCATAAAAAGCGTGGTGCCAGCGTGCAATAGAGCTGGATGCACCTATTGACAGACAGACAAACAAAGAGGAAGTCGAAGTAGGCGCGGCTGAGTTGATGCCTGTTTCAAAACTGCCCAGTGTAACGGCTGAGAAATCGAGTCACGCAATCCATTTCCTTGAGGCGACCGAAAAAGAAGAAAAAAATAGCTGGCCTGCCGACGAACACCGCACTGCACTTTTTGACACCCGACCCCTGTGATCACCATTTTCCCCTACATTATCCCCAGCTATGGGTTAGTTAATAAGACTTGTGTCACTAAAACCATTATTATCCCCCCTCCTCAAAAATAGAATTGTGTACAAAATATTTAGATTTCGTCAATAAATAACCCATAGAAGTTGATATGCAGCTAAAACAAAACTAAGCAACCGACATATTGGATATGTTTTTTTGTGTGTGTGTGTGTATGTTGCGATAAACCAGTCGCTAAATTAGGACCTTTCGAAAGACCATGTAATTTTCCTGCTAATTTTGTCTTCTAAGACAGAGTTCAAACACGTTACTGCAAGTGTTTGCGTATGCCAATAGAGGTTCAGTGGATTGGGTTTCTCTTGCCATTTTTGTTGATGCGACTGCCTTCCAGTTATATGCAAACTAAGATTAAAATTAGGGGAATTAAAGAAAACCAAATCAATCTCTAAACTGCAATACGAGAGTCTCGAGAATGACTCTTGCAAAGAGACGTATGTTGACAGAATTAAATAGCTTAGATGGAACCGGAAATACAAAGACATTAGGAGAAATCTTATGCCATCGGCAAACGAAATCATCAAAAGAGAGAAGAAGAGGGAGACAAGAAAAAAGTAGTTGACAAATGAGAATTCTCGAGCTGATAAAAAGAAGTAAGCAATGGTACAGAATACAAAATATTAAGCAACAACATTAGAAACATTAGAAGTGGAAGAAGATAGAATGACTCAGCGAAAATTAGGTATAGATAGAAAGAATAAATGTTTTAAAATTGTTCAAGACAATACGAATTAGCTTAGCAGTAAGCTTTAAGTAACTAGGTATTTACCCGAAACCCCCCAACACAAAGCAATGTGTGACACAAGGCCGGTTTTTAACGTGGGGCTTTCCGAGCGCGTACGGGCAAAGATTCTCCGTATACTCCATATTTACGGATTCGGGTAGCTGTCTACCTCCCCAGAAGAGACTCTGCTCATAGGCATACTCTTGTTTGAGTTCCTCTAAGCCCCGAGGCAAAGAGGTCGACAAGCAGAATATTGGCAAACGGTATTTACTCGTTACCACCCCACAAGGCGGGATGTGGCATAAGGATAATTTTTATATGGGGCATTCCGAGCTGATAGGTTCGGGCAAAAATTTCCCGTATACACGGGGTCAGGTAGCTGTCTACCTCCTCAGACAAGACTCTGCGCCTGGGTTCCTCTTTGCCCGGAGTCAAACACAGAGGTTTGGCAAATTCTGAGTATTAAGTCACTCAGTATTTATCCGAGCACCCGACAAGGGAGATGTGACAGATAGCCGGTTATTTTACGTGGGGCATTCCGAGCCCGTGAGCTCTGGCAAAAATTCCCCGTAGACCCCCGAATACACGGAATTGGGTTGCTGTCTACCTCGCACACGAGATTCTGACCTTCGGTATAGCCTCCTCTGGGTTTCTCCCTGTCAGGAGACAGTGAGGTCGACATGCTGACTATTGGCAAACGCTGAGCTTTAAATCATTCTGCATAGCAGGTGAGATTTCTTGAAATACGTGGTCAGAACAGATCCATTAATTGTGGCAGGGTGAATGGATTATACCACAATAAGCATCACAGATGCGGTAGTTACGTGTAAAAGATTAGAAGAAAAAAAAGTTTTATATCAAAATATTGGAGAATGTGAGAGGAAACTCACTCAATTATCTTTCCCATGAAGTCATAGCAATTCTAGATATTTTACGTCATGATTCCTTACATCGTGAACAGATATAGTAATGGTAATATTAGTCATTTCTTTTTTTTATTTATTTAGTTTACTGTCGGTTGAAACTTATAAAATTGACTTTTAAAACAGATTTCAATGAAGATAGGTTTCCCAAGTGGAATAAGTGCTATGGATATATTCAGTATTGATGGAATATTACTTCTTAACCTTTTGTTTGAAATCATGTGGACGTCAGAATCTTGATTATGCTATTATTTTCCCAAACTATTATTTTATTAAACTATATAATAATTATCAATGATTATTTATTTATTTATATATATATATCCTGTTTCATCTGCAGTGGGAAGGGAGATAAATCTACTTCAGTTAGTAAGTTTATGAGTAATTACTTCCTTTAGTCATTTTAATCATCTATACAAATTAAAATATTTATCTGCATTTAGACAAAGTAAGTTCCTGAGCAAAATAAACTGTTTAATTAATCAGTTCTTTTACGCCTGCGTTTCTTAGACTGTAGCCTTATTTGTTCAGGCCTTTCATGTGAGGCACTCAGTCTATTAACTGATTGTCTTGTTTTAACTTGGTCTTGAAGTCTCTTTGTCGTTGCAATGTTTGTATTTCCGTTTCTAATATTTTTTCTTTCGAGAGCTATTTCCATTTCACTGTTATATTAAACATAAGATTTTAACATAAAAAGATATTGTGTAAAAAGTGATTTTATATAATACCAGGAGTAATCAATAAATCATAGATACCATAGAACATGTAAAAAATATAAAAGGAACGTATCAGTTAAACTGTTCATTGGATTTTATTTTAGTTGTGAAGGCTTTATCTCCGCTTTATTCAATCTCAATACATTGTTTCAAGGTTTTGTTTCATTGCATCTCACTATTAATACTTAATGCATATAAAAATAATAATTACAAAAATTACATCACATAGCATCCTCCATAATTCTCTTACTTTCCATAAAGATTTTCAAATACTTTCAGATTTAAGTTTGAATACATTACATCTTTTTCTAAGTAATATTTTTTCTGCGTACAAATTCGAACTCAAATTCGAGTTATCTACGTACAAATTCGAGTTTTCTGTGTACAAATTCGAGTTTTCTGCGCGCAAATTCGAATTCAAATTCTTGTTTTCTGCGTACAAATTCGAACTCAAATTCGAGTTTTCTACGTACAAATTCGTGTTTTCTGCGTACAAATTCGAGTTTTCTGCGTACAAATTCGAACTCAAATTCTTGTTTTCTGCGTACAAATTCGAACTCAAATTCGAGTTTTCTACGTAAAAATTCGTGTTTTCTGCGTACAGATTCGAGTTTTCTGCGTACAAATGCGAACTCAAATTCTTGTTTTCTGCGTACAAATTCGAACTCAAATTCGAGTTTTCTACGTAAAATTCGTGTTTTCTGCGTACAGATTCGAGTTTTCTGCGTACAAATGCGAACTCAAATTCTTGTTTTCTGCGTACAAATTCGAACTCAAATTCGAGTTTTCTACGTAAAAATTCGTGTTTTCTGCGTACAGATTCGAGTTTTCTGCGTACATATTCGAACTCAAATTCTTGTTTTCTGCATACAAATTCGAACTCAAAATTCGAGTTTTTCTCTGTACAAATTCCGACTTCAGTTACATGCGATAAACATTTTAGTTATTGATATTATTGAATATCCACAAATGATGTTGTTTTTGTTATTTGATACCCCAGGTATTTCCAATTTTCTAACGCCTGTCTACTTGGTTCTAAGAAGGATGTCCCCTCGCTAAGACTTATATACTTCATTCACTCGAATCTATTTTTAATCGTTAATCTGGGAACGTGGTTGTATACAGTTAACAGTTTAGTTTCTGTGTATTACGATAATCTACATCCGGCAGAAAGTCCTCTGATTGGGAGATTGGAGGCTTTGATGGGCGTGGAATCAACTCTTAATGACTGTTATTCACAGCTCCATCATGGCCCGCAGTGGTAGCACCTGTTAGGGTCCCAATTATGGCCAAATAATGAAACCCCAAGCAAAAATCAGGAAAGTATATAATGACATTCTCATGGTAAAAATACCAGCAATACATTTTTATATTAAAAAATTACCAACACCTATTGATTGCAAAATTACCTACAATGTATTTTATCTGTAGTTGGAGGAATACTCAGCGTTAAAAATATTTAAATTTCGGCATTAAATAACCCATAGAGGATGATATGCCGCTAATCCATGATATTAATCCGTATAAAATCCTTCAATTTCTTAAAGAAATAACCTGTATTCTAAAATGTAATTACAATATAAAACGCACATATCACCGCCACTAGTAATCTACACAAATATCTATATGCACATCTACCATGTATTCAATTATGAAAGCGGAATAACATATGTTTTTATTACTTCAAAGCTCCAAAGATAATTAAATTTCGGTATTAAATGACCCATAATGAGTTGATATGCCGCTAAACAAACAAATCAATCAGAAATATGTGAATGGGCTTAGCATTATGCGTCACATCAATTTGAAAGTTTCTTCTGAGAAGGCTAGTTAAGCAGATAACTTGAATTTTTAAGTTAATGTTTCGATTTTGTAGTAGTTTGTAACTTTAGGTAAGGCTACATCTAGCGTAGCCTATTCTATGTTAAGTTACCTTATATCCTATATTAAATTTGTGGCAGCTGATTCTGATACCCAAGAAAACTATAAAAAATAATACGTTCAATTCGACATCCTACCTATTTACTATAAGAGAATCAGAGGT